CCTTGCCTCTAGTCGATACACACTTAATTGAGGGGTAAATTTTGACGAAAACCATAAAACTAGCATAAAATAGGGTACAGCTACAGATTGCATTAGCTCACCGCCTCCTGCTGCAGCGACACCTCGGCAAATTGACTCTGTTCGGGCCCAATGGAAGCATGATCGAATGCATCGTTTCGCGATCTGCATGGCTTCTTCACATGACAGAGGCTCCAGGTCTTCAGTTGCCCTGAGCAGAAGTTGGAGCTGTCTGGACTATTGCACTGAGCCTTGCGACTCATTCGGCCAACCCTCGATCGCAATCCACCTGCTCTCGCGGCCCCCTTCTGCCCCTTCCAGGCCATGCTTGATCTCGGCCAGTAGCATTCCGGCTTGCAATTTGACCAGGCCGTCCAAGATCCGGGAATTACTTCACCGCGCATCTCTGTGCAGAAAATGCCGGCCCAACCGGTTGGGCAGACGCATTTACCAGTCTCTGGCTGGCAGACGGCACCTGGAGAGTCGGATCGAGCCCGCCAGTCACGAACCACCTGTATGGTACCTGGGTGCCGATACGGGGGTGGCAAAGCATTTTCATTGACAGTTGTCGAGTCAACAATGCTTTATCTGTACAGACGTACAACTGGTCAGCATCACTAAGTCTATCAACATGTGCATTATGTCATCGAAATGGGTAATTTATTTGGCGGTGCAAATTCATTTTCCAGCTGGAAAGACTTCAAAATTACCAGTGGACCTTGACGAAGAGCCTGGGTCACATTCCATCCAGGAGCAATCATGGCAATGTGACGTAGTGGTCATTCGTCGAGATTATAGACTGCAATACTCGGGTTCGAGTCCCGCTGGAGGCGCTGATAAGACCTAGGCTAGGTCGAAACTGTAGTTAGAATGCTTTTGAAAACCAATACTAATTGAAAATGATTGTAAATGTGAAGCCTACTCACAGCAATGTTGGAAAATTCAGCCACCAGATCTTCCTCACTTTGTGTGAGCTAGAACAAATGCAGTAGTTTGTATGAATGTATGAAAACGAAGATGTTGTGGCTTCTATTTTGGTCGCAGTCTTCTTTTGATGTGTATACGTGGTCTGACCTCGCATTCGCAACTTGGTCATGTTGTCAAGACGACAAAGTTGGACTCACCTTGTCAGAAGTCCTCTGATATAGTAGTTATCATAATTCTCAGCCTCAGACCGTGGACCTGGTACATTGGCAGACGTTTCGCCGACATCGTAGTCATCATCGTCAGACAGTCTTGCCATTTTCAGCACCAAGCCACAACTTTTCCAAGAGGCAGCTTGGTACTGAGAATGGCAAGAATCACTTACGATACTGACGGCGATGTTTACGAAACTTCTGGTATTGTACCAAGTCCACGGATCAACATTAAGAATAATCATAACTACTATAGCAGAGGAATTTGGGCAAGGTGCGTTCAACTTTGTCGCCTTGACAACATAACCAAGTTGCGAATACGAGTTCAGAACACTTCCAGGATAAAAATAACTCGTTGAGTTTACTACTATTTCGAGTGAAAGTATTGGATGAAAAGATTCGAAGGTCGGTTCCACCAGAAGACGACGGCGGATTCCTCTTGCCCAGTTGTCGGTTTGCTTTACTGAAGGATTCATGCTGACACTGTTTTCGAGGCAATCTCCTTCGATTCCGGTGAAAACGTGCTGAGTTTTCGTCCGCCATATGGCGGAGATCATTAGAGCAAGGTATCATCGTCACAACAAAAATCGAGCTAACGAGTCAAGCTCAACAATTATGAAACAAGAGATACCTCGAAACCCAACATTTCTTCACATCAATTTAACTCTTCTGGAGGCAAGAAAATCTCACTTGTTATATATGAATAAAAATTGGAATTCGAAGAACCCCTTAGTGATATATTGTGACATTACTCAATATTTCAAAAGAATTCGTGATGTGGTCTCATTTCAGGCCGAAGAAGGATTGCCGCGGAGGAGGTTCCCGGTGAGACCACATCACGAATTATGTCCTACCAACTTCGAAATGGAGAGTCATGTCACAACCTGACTCATTAGCATGAATGTTGTTGTAAGGATGATACCATCTGATCAGATGATGTCCGTCATACTACTGACCAAAACTTAGCAGGTTTTAACCGGGGACAATAAAGATTGCCTCTGTAAGAGCATCAACCAAATGTTCCATTAAAACCAATCGACAGCTGGTCAAGAGGAATCCTCCGTCGTTTTTTGGAGGGATCGGCCTTAGAATCTCTTCACCAAACACTTTCACTCCAAATGGAAGTAAGCTCAACAATTATGAACCGAGAGGCTACTCGAAACTTAACTTTTATTACCTTTAGAATAATCGGTTTGACAGAAATCTAACCATCCAACCTCTCATGACTTTGTATCCATTGCCAAAGGGTTTGTTGTGATTCAGCATTGGTCGAGCCTCTTAATGAGCCGTTGAACATATTCTCACCGTACTCTTATCGACCTCGTCACATAGTCTTCACACTAGATACCTGATTTCACACAATAGGCCTTTTCTCACAAGTTTTCCTCTACTGTACACAGACCACGAAGCCGAGCACAAGCCTTCATTGTACAGGCCCGGGCATGATTCATACATTCCATTAATCAACTACCTCCTCCGCCTTTCTATCCCGGACCAGACCCCATGACACTCGACCAACTAATTTAAGCTGAACTTAGCATTTAATCCAGTATACTACTCATCCACCCTTATTTGAAGGCGAATCAACCCTTCCAAACCAATTAAAAGCTGAACCTCACATCATGCAAAATGTTGAGATAAAAGAAGTTATTTTTATGAAATGTATTCACCCTATTTTGTTTAAAATGATGAAGGACTGGTAGTAGAATTTTGCCAAAATGATATCAGTAGAGCTGACCTTTCCAATGAATTTCACATAGCCTTGCTTTTCCCAAAGTTGTTCTCATCCAGGCACTAGTGGACTACAGCTTCAACCTCGCATAGGTCTTATCAACACCCCCTGACAAGTCGAAACTGCAGTCCATTGATGCCTGGATGAGAACGTTTGGGAAAGCAAGGCTATGTGAAATTCAATAAAGACGTCAGCTCTACTCATATCATTGTGGGAAAATTCTACTACCAGTCCTTCATCACCTTAAATGAACTATGGTGAATATATCTCATAGAAATGGTTTGTTGGTAGTCTCGAGACTCTACTTATACGAAAAATAAGAATCACTTATTTTAATCGAAGGTATGAAGGCCAGGATGGTGTGGCCTTTTGTATGGTCGTGGTCTTCTTTCGATGGCAAGAGATCGACTTCACTTGTCTCTTTTAACGAGTTGTAGTGTGGGGCTAAGACTGGCAGAGCCCACTGACGATGCAGAATACGATACCGGCGAAACGTCTTGGAATGTATCGAGTCTACGATCCGACTCTGGAAATTACCATGTATGCTATGGAATCCGGACAATGTGCGTTTCTCAAGATCCTTCTGCCAATATGATCAAACTGCGAAAATAGGACCAAACAACTTCCAAAAATACTTATGCTTGATGGAAAGATTGAAAGCGAGGGTTTCAAGCCGCCGCCCAAAAGAAGACGACTTAACTTGTCAGCTGAGTGATAGTTCTAACCAAATTAACATTCGCACAACAGACATGCCAAATTCATCAACCAAAAAGGACGTGCGGGGCTACACAATCACAGCCAAACTTCTCTTTGAATCATTAAACCTTGATAACCCAGATTAACGGGTTCGGATTGGTGGTTTCGTAACGTGACTTTAACGTGTACACATTTACACTTCATCAAGTTAACCAACTTTACATACAAACTAACGCAATGTCGGTCATCTGTTTTCTTTCCTTTTTTTCCTTGGGTCATTAAGTCTTGATAATCCGGGGCTGACGTTAAGTTTTTCTCTAATTACTCTGAGGTTTGTTCTCGTGCAATTCATCAGTGCTTTATTGTATGCTTAGCCCCTATATAGACAAATAATGTTTGTTTTTAGTATAAGTAGAGTTTCGACATTACCAGTAAATCAGTTATATGAGATGTATTCACCCTATTTCGTTTAAGGTGATGAAGGACTAATAGTAGAATTTTCCCACAATGATATGAATAGAGCTGACGTTTCCACTGAAATAGGGTGAATAAATCTCAGACAAATAATTTACTGGTAGTCTCGCGAATCTACTTATACGAAAAATAAGTAATGTAGTCGGTTGTTATGGCAAAAATACGTTTTCTTCATCGATAATCCCACCAAAGAATGTGATATAGGAAAAAGCCTAGCCTTCCTTGATATGCACATCTGACCTGTGACCCAAGGGCTCTCGTAAAATATGTCCGAGTGGTTAATGAGTCAAGTTGACATTCTGCACTGCCACTGTTCGACTCCCGCTGGGGGTGTTGATAAGACTTATGCGAGGTCGAAACTGCAGTCCACTGGTGCTTGAATAAGAACAACTTTTGGGAGAGCAAGGCTCTGTGAAATTCAGTGGAAACGTCAGTTCTACTCATATTTTATGGGAAATTTCTACTACCAGTCTTTCATTACCTTAAACGAAATAGGGTGAATATATATCATATAAGGAATGCATGTGTTTCCGGCACTTAATGACGTCTCCATTTCTCTTTGTGGTTCATCTTTATTTCTGCCTGCCTGTCTGTCTCTTCAGTCCTAGTTTTTAGCAAAAGTTGTTTTTTGTTCTGTTTACTAGACTCATTTATTATAGTTAAGATGTTGGGCTTATTGGTAACTTTCCTTGACGTCCGATTTGTACGCTTGGGCACCCGCATTGGCCAAGATTTCTGTTTACTCCGATCTCTCGTGTATAGCTAAACTTTCGTACAGCTGCCGGCAGGTCTCCTTAACGTAGAGAACACCATAGCTACCTTAGACTTCATAGCCTTTTGATACAGAAAGAGGGTTCTTATAACTGTTAAAATAGGTCATAATCGGGATAAGTTCTATTCGCCTTTTATACATTTTTGTTGTTTCTCACTTCCTTACCCAATGACCCATTTGTTCAACCAATTTCGGGAACTTTTGAGTGGTCAACCTATCTGCTCTGCTTCAAGTGGCCATTTCAGATCACTCTAGCTCTTAATATTTCACAAGAGTTGTCAATTTTACTAAGAGACAACTATTCTTTGTCAAAATTATTCTCACATAACATATTATTGTCCTGATGATTTATGTCTGGTTGGCGCAAACCTATTTTCAGTGTCAATCTATTAAACTAATTTTGGTCGAAATAAAAAAATGTGTTTAGCGTCTCAGATACATATTTGTCCGACCTGATTTACTCTTGGTCAACTGTAACGGCGATAGAAGGAAGGTATCACTTCTATTTTCTGTGAATCCAGATGGTGAAATGGCCTTTCATATGTCGTACCAAAAGTTTGGAAGGCAGAAGTTTTCCTGAACAAAACCTATCCCAAAACCTACGATGTGGTTCTGGCTTAGACTTTGGAAGTCTAACCATCCTGCCTGAGTTCATAAGTTTCTTATAACGCTTAATTCTCGCTTGTAGGCCTCTTACATAGAACTTATTTTCAGTCTTGAAGGGTATCATTAGTGAATCCGGTAAAATAAGGCTCAGTCCGGCTTTAGTTCTAAGCAATTTACCTATGGTCCGGTAGCATTGAAAAAACACACTTAAAATGCACCCTTAATTTTGCCAGAGATTTCTAATCACCTCAAGTTGCAACATTCATAGACGAGTCTGAATGAATTATGCATATTTGTAAAGCCAGTGATATAGATGAGTTCGAGATGCTTGGTATGCTTACTTTTGTTATAAATATGCTAATAAACTGGGTCTCAAAAAGTCTTCTGCTATTTTCATGTTGATTCAAATTTCCTTTGGTACTAAAGGTTATGGAGAAAGCCTTAGAAAATCCGAAGAAATACTGTCTTTAGAGATGATGATATAAACTTCTTTGGGAAGTCCTCAAAATGTAGTTTTCAGAGCATCCCAAATTAAACTGGCCTACAGAAGGCTTACTTTATGCGGTTCCGAACAGGAATTCGCAGTTGACCTGGCGAACCT